AGATCTGTAAATTTTTAGCAGGTAGAAATCTGAGGGGTTTCTTGCTTGGTTTGGTACATGTGAAGACTGATTTATCATTTCAGTTTACCACAATGAGGTATGCAGATCAAATATGGGAAGGAAACAATCAATTCTACTTCTAACTGCTACCAAAGTGTCTGGTGATGGTACAGGCTCATAACCTGAAATGAAGAAGCTCCATGGTTTAGCAGAAGCTCCATGGTTTAGCATGCTAGTCAAGCCTTGTCTTAATTACGTCAGCTGAGGTACAGTAACTGATCATATGTATCCTCTTAGTGTATGTGATGAGTTACTGGATGTCACCTGTCAGGAATACATTGTTCTGGAAATGTCTTACCACGCTACATGTGTTTTAGTTTAAATCCAAAGGATATAGGACATTAGGGTCTGGTAGTCTGTGTAATAATTCATGATTTAATTATAGTTTTGTGTTTGGATATTTTTTTAAATTCTTTCTTAACATGGATGTGTACCCTTGCACAAGATTCAAACAAAATACGTGTTCTGCAGTATCACTGGGCTGTGTGCCCAGGCTGGAACATCTTCCTGTTTTGGCTAGATTCTTCCCACACAATTTACTTAGAAATGTTGAACAAGAAGCTTTATGGTAAACTCTTGCTCAGTATTTAGTCTCTTTTATCTGCATCTTGAATAACTTCTAACAATTCAAAACGTCATTTGTTGGAAGAACGTATTGAAACTTCAGAGCACTGGTAGAAGTTTTGCTTGGAGCTCACACTGGTGTGGTGGGTTGTTTTTATTTAAAAGAATAATTGTTGACAGGAGTGTGTGTTACAGTGTATTTTATGGTGCTCTTTTTCTTATCTAGAGTTTCCTTGGTTGTCACAGAAACAGTCGATGCTGGTTTGTTTGGAGAAGGAATTGTGGAGAGTTTGATACATGCTTGGGAACATTTGCTTTTACAACCAAAGGTGGGTGACATGGGTACATACATATAAATGGGATTCCTATTTTGTTTCATAGGTACAAGTGTGTGTGCATACGTTCACAGAAATACATGAATGAGGAAAAACTGTCTTGTAAATATTGTATGCCTATTGATACTTAAAAAATGAGTGATCTGTGTTTGTTCTTTGAATTTTATTTTGGGGAAGGGCAATGAGGCAACTGCATACGTTGTACTTCTGTGAGCTTGTGTTATGGATGGGCAGGTACTTGCAGTGCATGTTTCCCTGGTGTAACCTTCCATCATAGAGAGATGTGTCACTCTTGATCACTGTTCATTCTTTCCCCCCTGGCCCCCATCTTCCATATCCTCCCACTAGTAAATAACACCAAAGGGGTTTGTGTGTATTTTAAAAGCACTGTTTTCCTGAAATTATGATTACAACCTGGTCATTTTTAGATATCAACTAGCAGCAGAAAGCTGTGTCAGTCTAAGCAGAAAATGCTACATTACAGTAGAATTATTCTCATCATAACACTAGGGACCAGTCTGTTATAATATGCTAAATATTCCATATATTTATGCTCTTTATTTTTGCTAACTTTGAACTTTTTTGGAAGACTGAACAATCCCACTGAGTCTTGGATTTTATTTTGTGTTTGGCATTTTAGCTAGCATAAATTAAGCAAAGTAATATGACAGTGAGTCTTGTATGAGTTAACCTCTGTTAGGCCTTATGAAATAGAACTTACCTTTTATTTTGATGTTGCCTTGATTCCAGCTGCTTTTTAAAGTCTTGATACCTTTTGTATTGTATTGAACTCCAACTGATGACCTCTAGTGTTAAGTATAGGAATGATGCATTAAGGAAAGGTCTTCAAATGTTTTAATATATTCTAGTGGGGTACTAATTAAAAACCACTTCTAGAATTACACAGAGGAAATAGAGACTGAAAAGTAAAGCTGATTCATGGATATATTGAAACACAATATTTAAGAAACTCCTTTAATGATCACCTGGAAAGACCAGGAAGTTTACTAGTCACCAAGAACTTTGATGTTTTAGCTGTAATCTTGAAGGGCTCATTAATGGTTTTTAATTAATTAATTAACCTAGGCTTTGCAGTAACTTTAGAAATAGATCTGTCTCACTGCATGTTGTTACTTACATTTTCACAGCCTAAAAATCAAGATGTCAGTACTGGAGACTATGGCAGAGTTATTCCTGCAAGTGCTACAATATTTGGGATGGCAGTAGAATGCAAAGAGATACGTAGACATCACAGGTATGTTTAATCTCCAGCACAGTTTGAACCCGTATTTGTTACTTGGGAAGAGAGACCAGTGATTTCTCTTGAGGATTTTTCATGCACTGTTCTCTTTATTTTTTTGAATGGCTGATCATCTGTTTCACTAAAAAGATTTCTGCTCTCATACTCCTTCCCCCACCCTGCAGCCCTTGTGGTTCAGACTTTCTGGATCACTTCATCAGAAATACTTGATTTTCAGTGATGCTGGAACACATGCTGTTAACATACACTAGAGACACTTAATTCCTTAATAGTAAAAATACTTCTCTGTTTCTGTATTGGAGATTCTTGGATTACCACTTGGCCTTTATCCTCATTTTACTCTCTTTATAATCTGCTCCATACCTTGCTGCTGTATGTAACCCTTTCAGAAGATGAGGAAAGGATTTTGTAAAGTTGAGATGTTAACTCCACCTAGTATTATCTTTCTGGATACGTGCCTTGCTAATTCTCAGCTAGCATACAGTAGGGTTTCTTTGCTGGGACTGTTCTGGTTGTATATCAGTTACTTTGATTTTTATACTCATCTTCTAGCACAGTATCACTGTGTGGAGACAGTCTCTGCCTGAGAAGTTTGGACTTGATGTATTTTGTTTAGGATTTTATCTTGCTGAGATCAAAGAAAACAGTAACTTTTGCAACAGCTTCAGTGTACTGAATGAAAAATAGCCAGGCTGCATCAGTGATTTTTCTAATGCAGTAGACCTGGATAATGACCAGAAAGAGACTGAAGCTCCCGTAATCGATGATCACAGAAGAACCTCCTTTTAAAAGTTAATTAGTCATCAATTGAAAGATAGGATTTTGCCTTAAAACATGGCATGACTTTTCAGGATGAAAGTTAATGTACTGTAAAGTTTGGATTGTTGGATTAACAGTCTGTTCTAATAGCATAGCTTAAGGTCACGTGGCTGGTAGGACTGAAACGATTGCCACAAATTAGTTATATGCTGTAGGAAGAAAAATATCACTTGTTTTTTCTGCCTTTATAGTTTTGAGATCCCTTTCTGCTCCAGTAAGAATACTTGCCTTAAGTCTATTTTAAAAAGTGCTATTAAGCTTTATGCAAAACATGCCTATTCTCAGATTTATACTGTACGTATCTGAATTATTCAAATGTGCATGTCTCCACATTTCCTTAAGTGTTTTCATGACCTACAGCAAAACTTTGGGGTTTGGATATTGGGGTTTTTTTTCTGAGCAGGATGGCTAATGAAACACTGATTCGTCTTGCTGAGGGAGGGTATCCCCTTTCACTCCAGTTGTTGATCATCTCGCATATCATCTTTCTGTGGCTGATCTCATCATCTGCGTTGTATTCTGTCCCTTTATTTTAGTAATTTGAAGTTCTGCTGGATTTCCTGTGCTCTGCTTGTCTTTATTGTCTTTTTTCCCTAGCACATAGTAAAATTCTAGATAAACCATACCAATTTTCTTGTAATTCTGTCTTTGGTGCACTTAAGCCAACTTTACAAAAAGTTTTTTGCTGGTTTACCCCTTACCGTGGCTTCATTACTAGATGATTTAGTGATAACTGTAACATTCCTTCACTATAGCTGTTGCTGCTTGCAATCATGGCTTGTGGCTTCCTAGAATGACTATAGGACCTAACTCTGCTGTGGTGTTGTGTAATTTTTACTTATTTTAGGGTTAGCTTTAATTTTCTGCTGAAGTCATTGCTCCTTCTTTGAGGCAGTTGTTTCACATCCATGTGAAATGTGTTTACTTCCAGAAGAATAAATGAACTGACAAACTTGTGAGAAGACCTGAGTCCTAGTAAGGATAAATTTAGACTTCCACAAAAGTTTTAAGATACCAGAGTATACTGCATATTGGTTTTCAAGTTGGAACTGGGTGTCTTTCAAGAGTCATATTCAACAGTAGAGCAATATTCTAGGAGATCATAGGTGTGCTACATTAGTTCATCTATATTTGGTCATTTTGAATAAAAGTGCCAGAATATGGGTTAATTTACTAATTTAAGTCACTGTAAGAATTACAGGGTTTGGGGTTTTTTTTATTGTTCAATTTTTAGTCGATTAGGTCCCAGAGAGAGGGGCAATACAATGGCTCTACTTTTGTGCTATGTATTGAAGCCAGGAGGATTCATAAAAATGTGATAATCTCCTGACCTTTTCCACAATATAATCCTTGTACAGCAGCTGTTGTTTAGTTGTATTTCTTTTAAAATAATGCATGGATTGAATTTCAGATGCAGGAGAATAGTCTTGTCCTTGTTGTTAAAATATCTAAGTTACTTCACGAGCAAGTGAAAAAATTGTCGTTGCTGATAACATTGCTGTATTTTTTAGTATTTATTGTGAAGTACTTGCTACTTCGTGCTTTCTATATGTCATATTGTCCTGGGTTCAGCTACAGCAGTCATTTTTTCTCCTTCTTAGTAGCTGGTGCAGGGCTGTGGTTTTGACTTTCAGCCTGGGAACAGCACGGTAACACCAATGTCTTTAGTTGTTGCTAAGTAATGTTTACTCCGACCAAGGACTTTTCTCAGTCTCATGCTCTGCCAGGGAGGAGGGGAAGCCAGGAGGAAGCAGAGGCAGGACACCTGACCCAAACTGGCCAAAGGGGTATTCCATACCACAGCACGTCATGCCCAGTATAGAAACTGGGGGGAGTTACCCGGAAGGCCCAGATCGCTGCTCGGGTCGGGCTGGGTATTGGTCGGCGGGTGGTGAGCGGTTGTGTCCTTTTCCCTTGTTATTCCTCTTATCATTATTATTGGTAGCAGTAGTGGTTTGTATTATACCTTAGTTACTGGAGTGCTGTTATCTCAACCCATGGGAGTTACATTCCTCCAATTCTCCTCCCCATCCCTCCGGGAGCGGGGGGAGGAAGGAAGATGGGGGGAGTGAGAGAGCGGCTGCGTGGTTCCAAGTTGCCGGCTGGGCTTGAACCACGACACATATGTACTTCAATTGCTGGGGAATTGGCTCCAAAGATGGAACATGATTCATTTTTGTACTTTAGCTGTGCATAATGGTCAGAATATCTTTGCCTAAGAATCCAGGCTATGATAAGAGGCAACTTACTTGATTCTGCGATTGGGAGCTTCAAGGAGATGACTGTATCTGAGAATATTACCAGAGAGCCTGCCTGGTCATACTTAGTTTTAGAGAGAGCTTTTGCAGGAAGGAAGGTTCCTGTGAAAGGAATTAAGAATTTCAAGTAGCTCTAGAAACCAAAATTTAACTAGTTGTCATTTCATCTGATGAATGATAGATTCCACTGTAAGAATGCAGATGTGCTTGATAGCTGTCACTTAAATGGGAAGCACAAAGTCCTTCACAGGCAAATACACTTTTTCAGAATAATCTAAAGTGTAGCTTGTGCAAGACTCATCTTGTGTAACTTCCTGACCTGTACTTTGAAAACAAAAATACACCTTAAGTCGTCAAGCCTAAGAGACTGGCAGTGTATGTAACTGGCTTAAAGCAGTTACGGCATTCTTTGAAGTTTTTTGTGTAAGGCTGTTTCTAGAAACCTAGCTGATTTTCTGTCTTAGAAGAGAGGATACATGTATTCTGAGATGTCAAAGCATTTTACCTAGAAATCTATGCTGAGATGTTCTTTGCAGCTCTGTAACTATGAAAAATGCCTTATTCTGCATAGATTGTGCTTGAAAAATATATAAAGGTACTGCAAAATGAAAGTCAGCTTCCAAAAATGCATTTTCCTATTGTATATCTCTCTCTCTTTGTTCTGACTATTCTGTTCATCTGAAAGAAACACCCTTGTTACCTTTCTAATGCAGCAGCAGCAAAGCTTTATTTGTTCTTACTATCACAGGGTATATTCTCTCTCATTCTCTGTCAAGACTCAGTGAGTTGTACTTAAGGGGACAAAAGTCTGTGGCCTTTGACAAAGGACACACAGCGCTTCTTCTTGGTTCCTAGTGACAGCTTTCAGTTCTCATTCTTGAAAGTGGTGTGCATTTTCTGTGCTTTAGAGCTGCTCTGAACATAATAAAAACCCCACAGAATTGTTTTATTGTCTTTTATTATCTCTTCTATTCTTACATTCTGCATTTAGAAATACTTATGAAGCCTGGAAAGATTTTTGTTATTTTTCTGTCAAATTATTTGAAGTTTCATTTCTTCTCTTTTTTCCTTTTACTCCCAGAGTGGGGATGCAAGAAATTGCTGGTGTGCGCTTGTCAAATTCAGTGCATTTCTTTAGTCCAACATATGCTTCTGCTGGTTCAGAGGAAACTGTTGAACCTTACACCACCGAGAAGCTCAGTCGTATTCCTGGAGGTTATGTACCTCTGACAGAACCCTGTCAGGTAATGACAGTGGATTTCAACAATCTGCAGGTAATGATTATTTGGTTTATGTCCTTTACAAGTGACCTGTTTCAGAATAATGTCAGCCCCATACAGTATGTGGTTTCTGGGTTCAACTGCAGAACAGTTCACAAGTGTGAAGTTGGCAGAGCTGCAGTAAAATTCTCCGCTGGTTTTGGTATTTGTCTGGTCATGTGGTGATCTGATTCACCAGATGATGGTCTCTGAGGTTTTGAAGGTGGAGTTTTTTGTTTGTTCGTCATGGTTTACTTCCCTAAATGAGCTCACCATAGGATCAAACTACTGCCAGCCTTTCTACAGACAGGGGAAGGTAGGATGCAATAGGCCCATCTTTAATGATTTATGCAGTTGTGAAGCTGACTTACTTTATTCCTCTACAGTATTCAGGAAACTCCTGAAGACAAAAAAGTAAGGATGTCTTTTACATCTGGCATAAAAATATCTGCAAGTGTTGATGGATAAGTGTACAAGAGAGGGGAGATGAAGAAATTAGCCTGTTCAGTCAGCTTGTTTCTACCCTTCAGCTCCTTTGATATCTTACAGAATGTCTGTAATATGGCATTTTAAAATATGGTAGCATTATTTTTTATTTTGCACAAAATATGTTTGTATGGGTATACTGAATAGGCCTGAGCTGTAAGGCAGGGACATCAGCCACTTGCAGCTGAGCATGTGAAAAAGGTGATACATATGATTTCTGGTACGTTACTTTCTCATTGACCTGTGGTGAGGAGTTAGCATTGAGTCAGAGCTTAAAACAGGTTCTGTTATATAAATTAAATTATTCTTGGCTACTGCTTGGCCAGGAATTGCAGTCTTTCTGAATCAATAGCTTCTCCTAGTTGGCTTGTCTGACATCCTGAGATTAAAAGTGAAATAAGACAAGGTTCTTCAGTACACTATTGGGAGTGATCTCTCTGTGACCTAATGTTGCTTCTGCTTCTAGCATCAATAAGAAACTATTGGTGTTCTCTGAGATGCCTACTCTTAAGCATCTGTGGGCTGGCAGACAACTAAAGGTAATTTTAAGGAGTAAAGAACAGTGTTACTTTTCAAACCATGTTTCAAAAATGCTCCTTTGAAGTTTGTTAGGCTAATGGAGTGTCGTGCAAGATACCAATAAAGGTTAAGGGAAGAAATGCAATTGATTTACTTGGAATCATTGGTTACTGTTTGTTGCAACTTTATCGCTGAGCAAATATGGCAGTTAGAAACATGGGAAGGTTACTTTCAACC